GCGCTGTGCCAGTATACCGAGGGTAGAAGGGGATCCCTTTGAACATCTTAAAATGTGAATGTATACTAAAGGTCTTCCACAAAAATTAATGTGGAGGTACCACTAAGCAGCAGTTGCCAGGCAAGATGCAATCCCTTGTATTACCATCTGTCACGTAGCAGGACCTAAGTGTGCAGCTTCCTTACAGAGAGGTGAGAGGATAATCTCCACTGTTGACATCTACTTTGGGTTTTAAGTCTTGCTGCTCCCAGCATAGCTCGGTCGAGGCTGTCAGGAGCAGGGAACCAGATGCAGGCTGACGTAGCCGTGTCAGCTCATTACCTGACGGCATACATAAAAAGCTCTGGGGAAATCTAAACACACACGTAGCTGTTATCAGCCAATTGACTTCCGTTCCCTCTGGATGCTAGCACACATTAGAAAGTAATCCGGGGGGATGGCAAGAGGTTTAAGTGAATGTTTTGTTCTTGTTTTCCAACACATGTCAACAGGCTTTTTGAGATAAGTTGGATCTCTCTGGAGTATATCCTGAGAAAAAGCGGTTAGGTGCCTGGCTGCTGTCAACGTGCCGAGGGAGCAGATTGCTTACCCTTGTTGCCCTTCCCAAAAAATCAGCCAGGAAGTTTAACTGCGTGTTAGTAAGGGGCTGACGGTGCCAGCCTCTTTGCTATTGTTTTCAAGGTCAGGTCTGATTGACCTCGCTCTTGTTTCATTCAGTTGATCACATCATTTCCTTTTGGTTCCCTTACTGTGTCCTCATCATGGGGATTTCCATGTTTTTCCTTGATGTCTTTTGGTTAAGCTGATCCCCACTTACTTCCTCCCTTTCTCTTTGTGCCTTCTCCTCCTCTTCTCCCCCTCTCTTGCCTACTGTCTTTCTTCAGGACTCACTTATTTTCCCATGCCTTATTTATTAGTTCCCCATCCTGAAATATGCTTTCCCAGCTAGTTTTTGGGAGCTGCTTTCTCACACAGCAACAAGTTACTCCTGCATAGTAGGAGGGCAGCTGCTGTATTGCAGCTTTGGGAACCCTAAAAGAGCGGCTGCCTTGCATGGAAACAGCCCATGGGCTGTGGTTTAGCATCCGCAGTGGCGTTACAGGCCTTCCTGCAGGTAGGTTTGTGCCTGTCACAGTGGTAAGTCAGTGGCTCGTCTCTGTGTGAGCTGCAGCAAGACGCTGATGTACATAGGGGCAGCAGCTCCCTACTGCAGCACTGGAGCCTTAGGCAGAGGTAAAACACCACTTGGCAGATTTTTAGGGCTTCTGAAAGAGGTATTGGCTCCTGGTGCTGTTGAAGTTAGACCCACGCTTCTCTGCCAGAGGACGATCTGCATGTATACCGGCTGGATGCAGTGCTGTATACGAGAGAGATACGCTATGTTGCGGGAGTTGCACAGAGCCAGATTTGGCCCAGTTTCTCTCCCAAGTGCTGAGCTGTGATGAGTTCCACGGGGATTTTCAAGCAGTGGGAATACACTGTAAAAAAGAAGTCCTACTCTACCAAACCGGTGCCTTTGTGCAAATGTTTATTGCTTAAAAGGGAAATATGAAGACTGTGCATGATGCAGACGCAGACTCTGACGTTTTCCAGTAAAAAAAATAAATCTGATGACAGTTTACACTGCTCCCACTGCAGAGATGATGTCCTTTGTGGCACCGCTCATGGCAATCAATAAATCAGTATGGCTTAAGCCACCGATAACTTAATTTTAAAAAAAGGGACTCTATTTTAATTACATTACCCAGCTCATTAGGAAAATATATGTAATGAAAGGAAGACAGTCCTGTCATCGCTTTGACAGACCTAAAGCTGAAGTTCACGGCGGGTTTGCTACCCTCCCATCCCCGAGCAGAGCCAGGCGTTACTCTCTGCAGCAGCAGTGGCATCCTGTGGAATTCACCCTGCGCATGTTTGCGGAGGGAGATTTCCCCATGACATCAGTTGCTTGGGTTTTCTATCCTTCCTGCCTGAGCCAAGGGCACGAAGCCCAGTCTTTGCAGCAAGCAGAGGCAGTGCTAGCCTGCAGAGGGAAAGGCCAGCCTCAGCAACGCGTCCCAAACTCTCTGGACGAGAGAGTTTTGCCAGCTCTCAGTGTCTCCTGGGCAACGTTTCACTACCACACTGCTGGTGGAAAAAATGACGGGGCACTGTAAATATTGCTGTTTAAAAGGGTCTAGGAGGCTAGTGGTCATGGCCTTGTGGTAAATATGAAAAGCTGTTTATTGCAAATTGTGCCCTGAAGGGCGCAATTTGGGAAGCCTTGCAGCAGAGGAGCCCAGCCACGCCTTCTAGACGCTGTTCAGGCTACTCCAGCCCTTCCCTGCTCTGTGATGCCCCACGCGCAGACCTCCGTGCTGTTCTTCTGTAGTGCAAAGCACAGGAGAAAAGACCCGATTGTCCATCATTTCACTGTAGCTTGCTGCTGCATTGCGAGGAGCCTATATTCTTTCAGAAAGTGAAAAGCTCACAAGGGAGGAAACAGCTCAGCAAGCACTGAGTACTGGGGGAGAAATGCTTTCCAAAGTGTTGAAAGTCCTGCTGGACTGCGTCTCCCAGAGCTGCAGGCTTGTGAAAACTGCCTTGGCTTGCCTGTAGAGCTGGGCCCAGGTTCCCTCCCGTGGCTGCGAGCTGCCACAGCAGCAATCAGCACCTCTCTAGGGAAGCTCCGCAAAGCATGCCAGGGACAGGCATGCAGTGCTAAAATGGCTCTTTTTGGTACTGGTGCCAGAATCATTCTTATATCCCACCCCTTGCCAGCTAATGCCAAGGTACTCCAACGGAGCATATCTAATTATTGTACAGTGTAATTGGACAGGCATTTGGAGCCATTCTGACGGTACACAGATCTCTTAGATGCCCCTCCTAACCAGGACAAGACCTATTCCTGCGTGCACTGTCATTAAAGTGAGGGAAGTGGTTCTTATTTGTGTTATGCAAGTGGGAAAACACAGTCGAGGACAGTAGTAGAGAACAGTGTTGTACCTTTTCACTGAGTCAGTGGTATATAAGTCCCTCGAAGTCTTTGTAGGCTCTGCCACTCTGGGCATCCCAGACAGGTAACAGTGGATGGCTCTGCACCCAGTGTTTGTACCACCACTGGTGCTTGTGGTTACCATGGTGTTAGGGCACAAGTAGGCCAAGTGCTATATTTATGAGATGAGTAGCTGGCTCGTAACTCATGGATAATGCTACTTGCTTTTTGGAAGAGTTGCTGCACAGCTAAAAATGGCTACTCAGATGCTTACTGGTTTGTGCGTTTGCTGATTTTGTTCAGTTGCAGAGCTCTCCAGACCGGGCAGGAAGTCAGCACAATGCCTCAAGATACGTTATCTGCTGTAAATGTGGCAGGAAGTCATTAAAGATTTCCTCAGCTATTCTCTGGGAAAAGACTAACTCCAGGCTTTGGCAAAGTTAGAGGACTATCACTGCCAGGGCTGGGAATCAAAAGAAAAATCGTTCTAATAAGCAGATGTGCTAGCAACTTCAGCAGGGAGTCCTCTGCACCAGGCTGCTCTGGTACCCACCGGGTCGGGGAGGTGATGGATGACAAGATTTGGGGAACATGTGCCAAGGGGCTGTTTGTAGCTCACTCCCTCTGGCCAGGCTTGTTTGAGCCCTCCTAAGGCTTTAGGGAGCTAAAAGAGATACCTATGTAGACCAGTCTGAGACCTTTGTCTCAAAAGCTTTGTAAATCCCTGCTGTCAAAATTAAATGGCACTCTGTTTTAGGAAAGTTATTTGGTTGCTGTATGAACTCCCAGCCATAGCTCCAGAAGCCAAGCTCTTCTGGACCGACTGGGAAAAGAGAATTTCCTGCTGACAGGAGGCAATTGCAGACCTAGGGCAAATGAGCAGTGAGGGATCCCACACCAGGCAGTCAAGGCAAGGAGGCCTAGCATATGTAGAGGTTCATTCAAGAAGATTTAAGAGGGTGTCAGGGCATGATTTATCTATGATACCAGGAATTCGTGTGACTAGTCTCACTTGATGTACGGGATAATTCTTAATTTTGTTATTCCATGCTATGTCTGCCTTGAAAAACATTTGTGTTTTACCAGCAATATGTTTCTACTTCTTTTTTTTTCTCTCCTAAGTCCCATCAACCAGCCTCTGGTCAAGACCCAAAGGCTGTCTCAGACAAGAAAGAGTCTTGGGGAACTACTGTAGAAATGTCCCTGCTGAGCTCTGTGTCTACAGATGCGAAACAAAAAAAAAAGTAGCTATACTAATTCTGTGAGATTATCTAAATGGTGAAAAACTTAGTGTTCAACCTTGATTCTAAAAAAAAAAAAAAAAACGTAAAAGCTAGACAGCCAAACCTGTAAAATCAGGTAGTCTGATAAGTCTAGCAGCCACCAGTGTGTATCTGGCTCCAAATCTAATTCTGAGCATAGAAAACAGCAGGTGCAGAAACGAGTAGTTTGAAGCTTTCACTGGACTTGATCAAGACATGTAGGAGGACTTTTCCACTAGTTGTTTTTATGTGCTGTTTCAGCTTAAGATGTTTGCTTCTTAAATGCTGAGTCTTGCTCACAAGGCTGCAAAAGATGATGCATCTTTTTAGCCAATTGGACCATCAGCTAGTTATTCTGTAGCGAGCATATTGTGTGTGTTAGAAATAACATACGTAATATCAGAAATAAGTTGGGTTTGTGCTCCTTTTTAAAATTATCCTTTACAATCAGAATAGTTTTTATTTCCTCATGGTGAACAGTTATAGAAATGGCCGTAAGCATGCTGGAAACTTCTTTGCACTTACTTTGAATTGTTAGCCTCTAAGCTAGTGTAAGCTAGTCAGCCCCAGCTAGGCAATGTTTTGGGACAAGTGAAAACCATGAAACCTACTTTGTTCTATCTCTATGACTATACCACTGTAGCATACTGCATACAAATCAGCTTTGGTCATAAAGATGCCCATTGAAATGGCCCAGAGAGTTTTTCTTAAGTAAAACTCAGAGTGTGTACCTCACACATATGTCTTTGATTGTCCTTCCACAGGAGAGAAAGAAAATATATCTGAAAAACAAAGGTGTATTTCTCCAGTAGGATTTCAAGGGCTGCCTGTCTGCCCGGACTACAGGGAAGTATCCTCCAGGCACCACGCACGCAGACGTATTCCTCTGGATTAGCGACACTGTTATTTAGTCTTGCTCTTGCTGAGAAGGCTTCCACACAACACTTCAACGATGAATTTCCTCCGAAGGCGTCTCTCAGACAGTAGTTTTGTGGCTAATTTGCCCAATGGCTACATGATGGACCTGCAACGCCCTGACAACTCCACTAGCTCTCCAGTTTCTCCTGCCACGGAGAGAAAGCATCCGCAGCCACCACAGCCATCCCACTCTTCCTCTCCGGGCACCAGCATCTTCAGCTCCATCTCTAGCGCCATGAAACAAACCACACAAGCAGCCGCAGGACTAATTGATCACTCGGCCAGCTCCGCACCACCTGTGGCCCAGAAACCCAAGATCCTCTTGGTGATCGATGATGCACACACAGACTGGTAAGTCAACACAGTCCTACCTGCTGCCTTCGCCTCCACCAAGTTTAGGGGAGGAGAGGGGTTGGGAGGCACAGGGCATCTCTAGGGGGATACACAAACACTTTCACATCTAGGTCACTAGCTCTGGCCCCAGACTGCTGTCTGTCCAGTGATCTGTGTAAATGGCAGAGGAGGTATGATCTTGCTGGAAAAATATCTGTTTGGTACAGATTGGCAAACTCCTTGGCAGCCTCATATGTATATGAGCATACACAGAGCATCTGTGGCTCAGCAGACTTAGCTGTGCTGTCACATCTAGCAACAGTCCTAAGGGATCTTAGACTCAAGGTGTGTTAATGACATGCTTCAGGAGTTCATGGAGGGGCATGATCTACTGTCTATGTTGACTCTGTAAATGAAAAGGGACTCTTCTCTCCAGCTCTCTTTCTCTTGAACTTTTCCCAGTAAGCAAATTCATACACAAATTCATGAAAAATAACCCAAGCCTTACATCACTAATAATAATAATGACTTGAGCTCATGAGCTGAGCATGAGCCCTTCAACTTTTGCTATTGGCAAAAGCCTCTGGGGCTCAACTAAGCCTCAAGTTTGTTTTGTTTGAACACCTCTCTGTTTAGAAATAGAAGTTTGGAAGTTTGTTTGTTGTGAGATTTGACAGCAGAGGACTCTTTCCAAAAGTGCTGTAGGACAACTGAAGTTTTATGCAATGTAGAAGTGGCCTACTGTTTGCAGCATGCTCCCTTTCAAAGTCAGCTGGTCTCGAGAGCTTGACCCAAGCTGGCCAAAAGAACTATTTTGGTGAAAACCCAGAGCGTGTGCTTAGAAGATGCTGTGTTTAATCTGCCAGTTTGTGCAAAATTGTCACTGGCCCTCTGAATTCAGCAAAATGGAAAGGGTAGTACCGGCAAGGGGAACATACTGAAGATTTGTCAAAGTGAAAGAAAGGGGGGTTACTAGGTCATGGCTAAGGGAGATGATAATTTTATTTTCATTCCACTCCACTCTTCAATAAAGTGGTCATCTTTGGTCATCTCTGCTTTCCCAGGAGACTGGGAACAAGATGGGACCTGCCTCCTGGGTCCCTGGGGGTATCTTCACAAGGCAAGAGTCCTGCACTCTGCTTTGCTCCCTTCTCTTAGCACCAAGAGGTGGTGACAGCATACAGATAAGTCAGTCTTCTTCAGCCAGCTTGAAATACAAGAGGGAAAACAGTGGGATTTCTCTGAAAGGAGTATCAATTTTTTAAGTGAATGGGAAAGTCCCTCGTAAGATGGTCATCACATCAAATATTTCATCAGCCTAGTGCCTTTCACCAAAGTAGCAGCGTCTTATGTGAGATTGCTCAGTCTCCCACACCGATCTGGCACTGGTGCTTCCCCTGGCTTAAACACCCTGTTCTCTCTTTCCGGGGTACACCTGCAAGTCTTACAGCAGTCGGGTGCTCACTGACCTCCATCTCTGCTTAGCTTTTTTGCAGTTCCTTGAAGATGCTGCCAGGTGGCAGTCCCTTAACATAGCATCCTCCTGCTGGGAATGGGAGTGCCTCCAATGTACAGCTCTAGCATCTGGGGCTTAGCCAGCACTGCTTAGACCAAACACTGTGATCAGAGAGGAACACACTCGGTCAAAGGCCAATCTAGTTTTTCCTTGAGATTAATGGTGGCTGAAGGGAGTCTGGACAGGGGAGAGGACTAGGAGGGGGTTGGAGTTTATTGCAGTGCTTCCATGGTTTGAGATTCATGCTGCATTTAAATCCCTGCCTTTATATGTCCCAGCTGCTGCAGACTTGGTCTGTGAACTGAGTTTGCCCAAGGAACAGCAGCTGGGAGATATAAAGACAAGGTATGGCTTTTCATGCTGTCTTAACTCCTCAACTTGTGTGTAAGCACTCGGCGCATCCTGCTGTCTTGGCTATCTCTCTCCTGTCTGTAACTCAGTAGTTTCTACATGTGCTGTGGGACCCTTCTCATTTCTCCCAGCTCTCTGCCTCCATCCAAAGACTTGCAAATATTAAATGATACTGTTTGCAAAGGCTCCCTGCTTTCTTTCTGTGTCTAATATTCTGAGGGCACTGAACAAAATCAGTGTTCACATTCACAACAGTGTCATCACACATGTATGACACAAAAAAACAAGAAAATAACATTGCTAACCCTTGTTTACCGCAGATTCCCATGGCTCTGAGTAGCATGGATGAAAACGTATGCTTAGGCTAGAAACATTCGCAACCTTAAAGTAACATGTGGGAAAATGTACCTGTGCAACCATTCCAGTGGGCAAGGAGTGCTACTTGCCGTTGATTCACATGTCTCCAGGAACCTCACCGGGCCGTGGACAGCAACACTAGAAAAGAGCAGTGGCTCCATGGATGTTAATTCTGGATGAGATACTTCTGAGTATTACTAGTTGTCTTTTTGGTCTCAGCCAGCATGTTATGTGAGCTCAGGCTGATCAGTCTGAAGTCAATGGTAGCAGTGTTTGCTTTCTGAAAGCACATCTAAAAAAGCCGATTATCTGGGGATTCTGGCTGTCCCCATTCCCTCAACTATAGAAAAAGTTCCAGACTTTGGGGTGTGAACAATAGCCAGTTGTTACTTCTGTGCTGTTGATTTTAGCTTTGGAAGAGGCATCATATTTACAATGCATTTCACCTCTGCCCACCATGGTTCTTGCTGCTTCTGAATCTTCTGTGTTTGGTTTTTAAGAAAGGTCTCTTTCCTTCTCTTTTTGAAATAGTTAACTTGGCTATAAAAGATGCCCAAGAAATAACAACTGAAGAACTACATTTATTTTAAGAGGAAGGCTTCCACAACTCTTCCCATAACAAGTTACACAGCGTTTGCAACAAGGAGTAACTTCTCACAGACAGGAAGAGTGAGAGACAGTGCAATCTGCCGTTCGATTTCTCTTTTGTAAATGAAAACACTTTCTCATAATTGGAAACTGTAGCAATATTGCCAAGCCAAACATGAATTTATCATCGCTGTTTGTATTACAGCAGGGACGAAGAGCTGCAGTTATGGATTAGGACTAGGTGTTGCACAAGTACAGGACGAAAAGATCTTGCAACCTAAATAGGAAAGTGTATGTTGAACGCACTTTAAAAATAGAAAGGATTGCCATTTGTCACTTTAAGGAACTACTTGGTCTGCTGATAGTACAGTATAGCATTCAGCTTCTCTCAGAGATCTGGAGGAAGTGAAGAGCACCCATGGGAACCCATGGCCTGTCTTCCTCTGTAAAATCCTTACTGCTCCTGACATATAGTATGCTCTGATTTATTCCAAAAACAAAATACCATGAAAATAATGTGAGCCCAACAGAATGTAATCAGCTGCTTTCTGCATTAGCAGCAGTAAAAGAAAGGTACATTCTATTAAAAGCAAAGGAACTGACCCAGCGTTCTGTTAAAGTAGCAATATTTGACAAATTTTCCATCTTTCTCCAAGACCCTGCTCTAGCACATTGAAAGGAAGCATACAGTTAATCTGCCACATATAGGATGTGCATAAGAGGAAAACACTATCTGTACAGCTCCTTCGTTCTCTTGGCTTTGACCAGCAGCCTGCAGAAGTGAATATATCAGTGCATCCGCACGTTAGAGAAAAGCTCTGTCTCTCTTCTGTCATTAGTCGTGCATATCTCAGCTGAGCGGCCTCCATGTGGAGGCCGAGGTGAGACCTTGTGGGCCAGGCAAGCAGCCACTGCCGGAGTATCTGTGCCCTGGGGAGAAATGCGTTTAGAGACTTCTAAAAATGAATCCACAACACACCTGCAGCGGCTGCCAGAAAATGAGAGTTCAGACACGCGTATATACACACACGTGCATGTGCACACACACTCGGGCATGCATGCAAACACACAGCGAAAGGGAACGGGACCACAGGACAGGGGATGGCAGAACTCCATGTAACAGCAGAGCAGCTGGCTCCAGCACCCTGACCTCATCCAGGAGGAAAACATCCCACCGCTGGCATTATTAAGCTCTATTAAGTCAAATCATGCTCTTGCTGGACTGAATTTCTCAGCAGATCAAACAGGATTTAGAGCTGTGAATTGTTAACCCCCATCATCTGCAAAAGCACTCGGCTTTCTAGCCTAATGCGTCAGGTTTAAACTGCTTATTTGGGAAGTGAGCACACATAGCTAAGGCTCCCATTAACAACACATGCTAAAAGCATTGCTTTTTGGATCAGACAGAACAACAAAGCTCTGACATAGTTGCATTTGCTAAATATCTCGTATCACTTTTCAGAGCCATTGGTGTATTTTGCCAAATTCCAGGTCCTTTCAAGTGCTATCAGTGTTATAAGCTATCTTACACAAAATACATGTGCCCCATGCGCTGCAGTTCTACTAAGGCTGTGCCATGTTTCACAGAAAAAAGCCACTATGGATATTTTAAGAGAGAGAAAATTGCACTGCTGTTTTCCCATTTACTTTATAGCTAAAGCTGTGTGAATAGTGTCTCCAACAGTCTTGGAAGTGAAGAAAGAGGAAAAAATATGATTAATACTGAATAAAATCCTCCTAAAAATGCACAAAATACTTCTTTGTGTAATAATAAAGTCATAATTTAGGTCTAATTATGGAGTGACCTTACAGGATTATCATGTTTCATTACAGGGAGGAAATTATTAACTCTTTTTTATTAAAATAAAACCATTTTTACTTCTGATAGTACATGACAGTATTGAGCCTTAAAGATGTATTTGTCCAAAAATGTATCTGGTCAAATAATAACAGTATAATATTGAATTTCACTAATTTGGAGCTTTCTAAACCCTACTTTTTTGCAAAGAATTGCTTTTCAGAAATATTCTGCAAATGTCATAAGTAATTTCATACTTTCAGCAGGCTTAAGATGGTTTACTAAGGCTCACATTCAGAGGGATATTTCTGTACATAGCTCATTGAAATATAATGGGAAGTGACTGACTAGCTTTTGGATTTGAACTTCATTATCCAGAGTGGATACTTCAAATATGACCTCAGGAAT